TTGTCAGATGGGTAGATTGCAAAATTTTTTTTCCATTCTGTTGGTTGCCGATTCACTCTAATGACTGTTTCTTTTGCTGTGCAGAAGCTGTGGAGTTTGATTAGGTCCCATTTGTCTATTTTGGCTTTTGTTGCCAATGCTTTTGGTGTTGGTGATGAAGTCCTTGCCTATGTCTATGTCCTGAATGGTTTTGCCTAGATTTTCTTCTGGAGTTTTTATGGTGTTAGGTCTTATGTTTAAGTCTTTAATCCATCTGGAGTTAATTTTAGTGTAAGGTGTCAGGAAGGGGTCCAGTTTCTGCTTTCTGCACATGGCTAACCAGTTTTCCCAACACCATTTATTAAGCAGAGAATCCTTTCCCCATTGCTTGTTTTTGTCAGCTTTGTCAAAGATCAGATGGTTGTAGATGTGTGGTGTTGCCTCCAAGGCCTCTGTTCTGTTCCATTGGTCTGTATCTCTGTTTTGGTACCAATACCATGCTGTTTTGATTACTGTGGCCTTTTAGTATAGTTTGAAGTCCGGTAGTGTGATGTCTCCAGTTTGGTTCTTTTTGCTTGGATTTGTCTTGGCTATGTGGGCTCTCTTTTGGTTCCATATGAAGTTTAAGGTGGTTTTTTCCAGTCCTGTGAAGAAGGTCATTGGTAGCTTGATGGGGATAGCATTGAATCTGTAAATTACTTTGGGCAGTATGGCCATTTTCACAATATTGATTCTTCCTAACCATGAACATGGAATGTTTCTCCATCTGTTTGTGTCCTCTCTCATTTCATTGAGCAGTGGTTTGTAGTTCTCCTTGAAGAGGTCCTTTACGTTCCTTGTTAGTTGTATTCCTAGGTATTTTATTCCCTTTGTAGCAATTGTGAATGGCTGTTCGTTCTTGATTTGGCTCTCTAGAAGTCTGTTATTGGTGTATAGGAATGCTTGTGATTTTTGCACATTGATTTTGTATCCTGAGATTTTGCTGAAATTGCTTATCAGTTTCAGGAGATTTTGGGCTGAGATGATGGGGTCTTCTAGATATACAATCATGTCGTCTGCAAATAGAGACAATTTGGCTTCCTCCTTTCCTATTTGAATACCCTTTATTTCTTTTTCTTGCCTGATTGCTCTGGCTAGAACTCCCAATACTATATTGAATAGGAGTGGTGAGAGAGGGCATCCTTGTCTAGTGCCATATTTCAGAGGGAATGCTTCCAGTTTTTGCCCATTCAGTATGATATTGGCTGTTGGTTTGTTGTAAATGGCTTTCATTATTTTGATATACGTTCCATCAAAACCTAGTTTATTGACGGTTTTTAGCATAAAGGGCTGTTGAATTTTTTCAAAGGTCTTCTCTGCATCAATTGAGATAATCATGTGATATTTGTCTTTGGTTCTGTTTATGTGGTGAATTACATTTATAGACTTGCGTATGTTGAACCAGCCTTGCATCCCCGGGATGAAGCCTACTTGATCATGGTGGAAAAGCTTTTTGATGTGCTGTTGCAGTCGGTTTGCCAGTATTTTATTGAAGATTTTTGCATCTATGTTCATCATGGATATTGGCCTGAAGTTTTCTTTTCTTGTTGAGTCTCTGCCGGGTTTTGGTATCAGGATGATGTTGGTCTCATAAAATGATTTGGGAAGGATTCCCTCTTTTTGGATTGTTTGGAATAGTTTCAGAAGGAATGGTACCAGCTCCTCTCTGTATGTCTGGTAGAATTTGGTTGTGAACCCATCTGGACCTGGGCTTTTTTTGGGTGGTAGGCTCTTAATTGCTGCCTCAACTTCTGCCCTTGTTATTGGTCTATTCAGGGTTTCGACTTCTTCCTGGTTTAGGCTTGGCAGGATGCAAGTGTCCAGGAATTTATCCATTTCTTCCAAGTTTACTGGTTTATGTGCATAGAGTTGTTTGTAATAATCTCTGATGATGGTGTGCATTTCTTTGGAATCTGTGGTGATATCCCCTTTATCGTTTTTTATTACATCTATTTGATTATTCTCTCTTTTCTTTTTTATTAATCTGGCTAGTGGTCTGTCTATTTTGTTGATCTTTTCGACAAACCAGCTCCTGGATTTATTGGGTTTTTTGAAGGGTTTTTTGTGTCTCTATTCCTTCAGTTCTGCTCTGATCTTAGTTATTTCTTGTCTTCTGCTAGGCTTTGAGTTTTTTTGATCTTGGTCCTTTAGCTCTTTCAATTTTGATGATAGGGTGTCGATTTTAGATCTTTCCTTGCTTCTCATGTGGGCATTTATTGCTATATATTTTCCTCTAGACACTGCTTTAAATTCTGGTATGTTGTGTCTTTGTTCTCATTGATTTCGAAGAACATCTTTATTTCTGCCTTCATTTATTGTTTATGCAGTCAACATTCAAGAGCCCGTTGTTCAGTTTACATGAAGCTGTGCGGTTCTGAGTTAGTTTCTGAATTCTGAGTTCTAACTTGATTGCACTGTGGTCTGAGAGACTGTTTGTTATGATTTCTGTTTTTTGCATTTGCTGAGGAGTGATTTACTTCCAATTATGTGGTCCCTTTTAAAGTAGGTGTGATGTGGTGCTGAGAAAAATGTATATTCTGTGGATTTGGGGTGGAGAGTTCTGTAAATGTCTATTAGGTTTGCTTGGTCCAGGTCCCTGTTAATTTTCTGTCTCGTTGACCTGTCCAATATTGACAATGGGGTGTTAAAGTCTCCCACTATTATTTTATTATTATTATTATTATTGAGATGGAGTCTTGCTCTTGTTCCTCAGGCTGGAGTGCAGTGGCACAATCTCAGCTCACTGCAGTCTCTGCCTCCTGGGTTCAAGCAATTCTCCTGCCCCAACCTCCCAAGTAGCTGAGATTACGGGCACCCGCCACCATGCCTGGCTAATTTTTGTATTTGTAGGAGAGACAGGGTTTCACCATGTTGGCCAGTATGGTCTCGAACTCCTGACCTCAAGTGATCCGCCCACCTGGTTCTCCCAAAGTGCTGGGATTGAGCCTCAGCCTGTGTCTGATTTCCTGTTGAATACTTAGATTATTTATTTCAGTCTTTCCTGTTAAAAATGAGTATATTAAGGATACACAATTTTCTTTAGGTAGGCTTGGTTCTATTTCTACTTTAATTTCCATTTCTATATTTTTTTGGAGAGAGGGTAACTTTTCATCTTATATTTCTTTTTTTTTTTTTTTTTTTTGAGACGGAGTTTTGCTCTTGTTACCCAGGCTGGAGTGCAATGGCGCAATCTCGGCTCACCGCAACCTCCGCCTCCTGGGTTCAGGCAATTCTCCTGCCTCAGCCTCCTGAGTAGCTGGGACTACAGGCACGCGCCACCATGCCCAGCTAATTTTTTGTGGTTTTAGTAGAGACGGGGTTCCACCATGTTGACCAGGATGGTCTCGATCTCTTGACCTCATGATCCACCCGCCTCGGCCTCCCAAAGTGCTGGGATTACAGGCTTGAGCCACCGTGCCCGGCCTTCTTATATTTCTAATATAACAACAATATGGGTAGAAATTGTTTTGCCAAATGATATATTCCTTTGGGATTTGTTGAAATTATCTCTCTTGCTTTTTGTTTTTGGTGATGTTCAGTATGTTGAAAATAACGTGTGTTCTCTATGTTTTAAGCGTGAGATTCTCTACTTGACCCACTTGTTTCTGAGGGGAGTGTGTTTAAAAATCTCATTCTAGAGGAGGATTTACCAGTTCTTCCTTGGTAGATCTATACCTGTTTATAATTATTACAGCTTTTTGGTGGACTTTTAGTAATATACAGTAGTTTTTTAATTCCGATTAGTAAATTTTGCTTTCAGTGCTGTTTTTGTTTTCTGTTTTGTTTGTTTTGAGATGGAGTCTCGCTCTCACCAGGCTGGAGTACAGTGGTGCCGTCTTGGCTCACTGCAGCCTCCGCCTGCCAGTTTCAAGCGATTCTCCTGCCTCAGCCTCCCGAGTAGCTGGGACTACAGGCATGCACCACTATGCCTGGCTAATTTGTTTGTTTGTTTGTTCGCTTGTTTGTTTTTTTGAGATGCAGTCTCACTCTGTTGCTCAGGCTGTAGTGCAGTGGCATGATTTGGGCTCACTGCAACCTCTGCCTCCCAAAGTGCTGGGATTACAGGCGTGAGCCACCTCGCCCAGCCTATTGTTTTGTATTTTTAGTAGAAACAGGCCATATAGAGACTGGCCATGTTGGCCAGAGTGGTCTTGAACTCCTGGCTTCAAGTGATCCACCCACCTCGGCCTACCAAAGTGCTGGGATTACAGGTGTGAGTCACCATGCCCGGCTTCAGTTCTGTTTTGATTGGTGTGAATATAGTTGAACCAGATGCACCAAGATATATTAAGTTCACAAACACCACATTACTGGGAAGAAGCCAACATCATAACTGATCTGTGGTGTAGAAAGTCAGGATAGAGGTTTACCTTTTCAGAGGTTGGGTTTGGAAGCTGTGACTGCAGGGACAGGAGGACGATCAGGACTAGGTCCTGCTCTTTCTTTTTTCCTTTTTTTTTTTTTTTTTTTTTTGAGATGGAGTCTTGCTCTATCACCCATGCTGGAGTGCAGTGGCACATTCTCTTGGTTTACTGCAACCTCCAGCTCCCGGGTTCAAGTGATTCTCCTGCCTCAGCCTCCCAAGTAGTTGGGATTACAAGTGCGCACCACCACGCCTGGCTAGTTTTTGTATTTTTGGTAGAGATAGGGTTTTGTCTTGTTGGCCATGCAGGTCTTGAAGTCTTGACCTCAAGTGATCTGGTCGCCTTGGCCTCCCAAAGTGCTGGGATTACAGGTGTGAGCCACCGTGCCCTGCCTGGTCCTATTCTTTCTTGACCCTGGTGCTAGTCCCGTGGGTTTGTGCAGTTTGTGATGGTCCACTGAACTGTGTATTCAGGATTTGTGAACTTTTTAAATATACATATACTTCAAGAAAAGCTTTAAAGATACAGAGAAGATATGTAGCTACCACAGCTTTATTTTAACTAGTGTTTGATCTAATATTTACTAATATTTAGCCTTTCTGTGTTATTTTATTTTAGGCCAAATAGGTGCATCATGTGTATCTAATCCAAGAGTCCTGTGCTTCTGGTAAGTGAGTCAATCTTATTTTATTTATTTATTTTGAGATAGGGTTTTGCTTAGACATGTAGAGGTTTTACTTTCTGCAGCAGGAGACCTTGGGCAACACCTGGCACAGGAGTGCTGGGCTGTCCTGGGCTTGCTCCCAGCTCTTAGGGCCACCATATTCCAGGCATGGGAAGTACTTGCTGCACATCTTGGTGCCCTGCTCTCTCTCTTTTTTTTTTTTTTTGGGATGGAGTCTCGCTCTGTCATCCAGGGTGGAGTGCAGTGGTGCAATCATAGCTCACTGCAGTCTCTACTTCCTGGGCCAAGTGATTCTCCCATCTCAGCCTCCCAAGTAACTGGGACTACAAGTGTGTGCCATCACAGCCAACTAATTTTTTTTTCATAACATTGAGGTCTCCCTATGTTGCCCAGGCTTATCTCAAATTCCTGGGCTCAAGCCGTCCTCCCACCTCAGCCTCCCAAAGTGCTAGGATTGCAGGTGTGAGCCACCAAGGCTGGCCCCTTCTGTTGTTTTTAATTTTCTTTTCTTCCTTAGCCCTTAACATTTTGTCTTCATTCTTCCAGGTAAGGTGAATGAGTATTGTCATTCTCCTCCTGAATGACACTGCTTAGCATGCCAGAGAGGAGGAGGGGGATAGACAGCCCAAGGGCAGCAGGCAATACAGGTGAGGCTGGAGGCTGGGCACTTTGGTGCACACCTGTAATTCCAGCACTTTGGGAGGCCAAGGCAAGAGGATTGTTTGAACTCAAGAGTTCAAGACCAACCTGGGCAAAATAGTGAAACCCATCTGTATAAAAAAATACAAAAATTAACTGGTTGTGGTGGTATGAGCCTTAGTCCTAGCTACTTAGGAGGCTGAGGTGAGAGAATTACTTGAATTCGGGAGATCAAGGCTGCAGTGATCACGCCACTGAGCTGAGATCACGCCACTGTCCTCCAGCCCAGGCAACTAAGAGAAACCCTGTCTCAAAAAAAAAAAAAAAGTAGGGCTGGAGAGGGCAGCCCCAGGCAAAGAGCAAAGTCTGTGCCTGAGTGTCCAGCAGTACCCCCACTGGGATGGGCAGGGGGTGAGCCAGTGAGGCAGGCAGGGCTGTTTATGGCAGCACCAAGTCACTTGACCTGTGGAAGAAGTGGCCAGACTGGGCCGCCACTTGTTCTGTTCTCTTCTCTCAGCACCTGAGTGCCCAGGTCTTGCCCACTGCCCTGGAAAGCCCAAGACTCAGGCAATGGCAGCCTTGTTCCTGTCTGCCCCACCCCAGGTGAGTATCTGTACTCCTGGGAGTTGTGAAGTCTTTACCCAGGGCTTTCCTGACAAACACTGTCAGGTATCTCTGGTTTGGGGTGCTGACAGGATGGTAGGGGTGGCCCTGGGGACCCCATGCAGCCACCTCTTGGGTTGTATTAGCTGGCTTAGTGGCAGATGGGTCAGGCTACCCACTGAGCTGCTGCCTTTAGCATGCTTTTGCTCCCCCACTTCCCCTACCAGCCCACTCTGGACCACACCTGGGCTGCAGCAGTCCCTGTCATTCCAGACTGAGGTGACCTTCGAGGACGTGGCTGTGCTCCTCTCCCGGGAGGAATGGGGCCGCCTGGGCCCTGCTCAAAGGGGCCTCTACAGGGATGTGATGCTGGAGACCTACGGGAACTTAGTCTCACTGGGTAAGGCCCTCACCAGGACTTGGCTCTGGGAACAGCCCTGGGGGCTAAGGAGGCTGGGCTGTGGGCCTCACCCCCTGGGTGCAGAGGTACGTAATGACCTTTATCCCAGGCAGGCATCTGATCTGAGAAGATGAGGGGAGACATGGTGCTGGGACCTTCCTGAGTCAGCTCTTCCCTTCCCTCTCGCTCCAGGTCCCAGGCAGACCCCTCCCTGGTGGGGTGGGGAGACTGGGGCATCAGAGTTGCACACTTCCTAGTAGAGGGAACCCCTGAGCTCTTGTTCCCCTCTGCTCAGACCTTTGTCTTCAGGACTGCCCCAGCCCAATCTCGGTGCCCTCCAGAGGGTGTCCAGGCTTCCATCACCCCTCTACCTGTGCCTCCCTTCCCCTGAAGCCCCAGGGTGAGACAGCACTAGGTGCTGCCCAGTGTCCTTGGTACCAACCCCAGGCCCTGTCTCCTTCCCAGGAGTAGGACCTGCAGGCCCCAAGCCTGGAGTGATCTCACAGTTGGAGCGAGGGGATGAGCCCTGGGTCCTGGATGTGCAGGGCACTTCTGGGAGAGAGTACCTGAGAGTCAACAGCCCAGGTGCGTGAGGGGATCTGCTCCCCAACTCAAGTTGCTGAACGAGCATTTGTTGGGGTCCAGGGTGTCTGGTTAATGACTCAGGAGTTTGTGGGGAAGATGCATTGGGGCTAGCACAGGAGGCCTGACAGTGGCTTCTGCTGAACCCCAGGTCACCTCTCAGTCTGGGTACCTTGTTGGGGAGATTCTTGAGCAGAATCTTCTAGGAAGGTGTGGCCAGGGCAGAATTTCTGTTGAAAATAGGAATGGGCATTCCAGGCAGGTCCCGGGTAGAGAGGAGTGAGTAGGTGCAGACCAGGAGTGCTATAAGGGGAGGTTAGGGTCTGCGGAATCCCACAGAACCTTTCCCTCCAGAACTTGTGCAAGACAATGAGAGCCTAGTGATAGAGACTATCACTTCATTCCCCTCTCTTCTAAATTAATACACTACGGAAAAGGGAGCGAATACACATCACCCTGAATCTCACTACCCAGACAGAGTTGTGTTCTAGTATATTTCTGTTATTCCTTTTCTAGCACTGGCCTTTCCACTGTTATGTAAGGACACTGCTTTTTTTTGGTTTTGTTTTTTTGAGACAGGGTTGCCTTCTGTCACCCAGGCTGGCTTGCAGGGGAGTGATCATGGTTCACTGCAGCCTTGACCTTTTGCACTCAAGTGATCCTCCCACCTCAGCCTCCCAAGTAGATGGGACCACAGGGATGTGTCACCACACCCGGCTAATTTTTTTATTTTTTGCAGACCCAAGGTTTCACTATGTTGCGCAAGCTGGTCTTGAACTCCTGGGCTCAAGCAATTCTCTCGCCTTGGCCTTCCAAAATTCTGGGATTACAGGTGTGAGCAACTGCACCTTGTCCAGACACTGTTGCTTTATTTTTTGGAGATGGAGTCTTGCAGTGTTGCTCAGGCTGGATTGCAGTGGCGCAATCTCAGCTCGCTGCAACCTCCATGTTCTGGGTTCAAACAATTCTCCTGCCTCAGCCTCCCAAGTAGCTGGGACTGCAGGCATTCTCCACCACGCCCAGCTAATTTTTGTATTTTTAATACAGATGAGGTTTCACTGTATTGCCCAGGCTGGTCTCAAACTCCTGGGCTCAAGCAATCCTTCCACCTTGGCCTCCCAAAGTGCTGGGATTACAGGCGTGAGCCACCACGCCCAGCTGACACTGCTTCTTAATAGGAATGACAGTGCGTTCTGCTATGCAGAAATGTACACAGAATGTGTTTCCATTTCTGTGCACATGAGTCTCTATTGCGTCTTCAGTGGAAGTGCTGGTCAGAAAATTGTTGTCTAATTTTACTCTGGATAGCTCTGATGGTCACCTTTTTGCATGTGTCTGATGATGTCCTAGGAAGGAACTGCTGGCTTAAAGGACTTCTTATTTTGTAAATTTGCTTATTTGGATGTAAATATCTATAGAAATAGGACAAACTAACTCAGTGAATTTTTACGAAAAAAATCATCTTTCAGATTAAAATACAGAATGTTTTCAGCTCCCCAGGAGCTTCCTGGTTTTCCTGTCATTTCCCACTGCTCCCCACAGGGGCCTTCTTTCTGTCTCCTGTTGCAAGAGGCCTCTTCACCCTTCAAATTTTTCTGTCTTGACTTTCACAGGGCATCTTTTGCTGAACATTATGTTTCATGGAGCAGCAGTGTGGTCTCTTTGGTTGCCATTGTTCTGTTATATGAACATACCACAATTTATGTTCCCTTCTACTTGTGGAGGACATTCAGTTGTCCCCAGTTTGGGATTGTAGAGGAAATGCTGTGGCCATTCCTGTGCATGCATCTCTCTGGTGCCCAGAATACATTTCTGGTGGATGTGTACCTGGGAGCAGAGTCGCTGGGTCAGCATGTCCATAGATTAGCTTTAGATGAGGTTGCCAAACCGTCCTCCAAAGCAGCAGCTCCAGCATCGGCTCCTGTAGCAGTATGTGAGCACTATGTGCTGCATATCTTGGCATGTATTGGTGTTCAGCACCTGTTCATGTGCAGTGCAGAGCCAAGCAAGGGGTGGAAGGATAGACCCCTTGGGACTGGGAAGGGAGCAGTGATGAAAGTGGCAGTCAGCCGGGCGTGGTGGCTCACGCCTGTAATCCCAGCACTTTGGGAGGCCAAGGCGGGCGGATCATGAAGTCAGGAGTTGAAGACCAGGGTGGCCAACTTGGTGAAACCCCGTCTCTACTAAAAATGCAAAAAATTAGCCTTGCGTGGTGGCGCGCGTCTGCAATCCCAGCTCCTTGGGAGGCTGAGGCAGGAGAATCACTTGGGAGGCGGAGGTTGCAGTGAGCTGAGATCATGCCACTGCACTCCAGCCTGGAGACAGAGCAAGACTCCGTCTCAAAAAAAAAAGAAAAGAAAGTGGCAGTCATGAGCTGCTTGCACCTGGAACTCACTGTGCTGGGCACTGGGCTGAGTGCTTCATGGTCAGTCTGTTGTGTTACTCTATTTCGTTCTCATGACAGTGCCATGTGGTTGCAGATGGAGAAACCAAGGCTCAGAAAGGTAGGTGAGCTGTAGCCTCAAGTGACTCAGCTGGCAAGTAGGGGCCAGGACCTGAGTGTGGCTGCTGGTGTCAGTCTCTGAGGGGCCATGTGGCAGGACCCCACTTGGGTACTTGTCACTCTCCCTTCTTAGGGAGTGGACACCCAGGAGAATTTTGTTGTGTGAGTGTCAAATCAAGGAAAAAAGGAGTAGATGTTTGAAGGGCTGTATGAATGTGACCCTGGGTAAGCTGTGTAAGGCTCTGAGCTACAGACTGTCATCTTTGCAAGGCTGTTGTGACTTTGGAGATGATCAGATGTGGCCAGCAACATCTCATACCTGCCTTGCAGAGTCAGAGCAGGTGACCCTTAGATGTTCTGCTTTTTGTTTCAGCTGTTGGGACCAGCACTGAATACAAGGAGTTGACTTCATGGGAGACATTTGACGAGGAAGAACTGGGCCAACTGAAGGGGATTTTCCCCCAGGGATCTGAGCCAGTAGATGCCTCTAATCATGCCAGGAAGCCAGAGGGGAACCTGGAAAAGCTGGTGGAGCAAACCAAGCCAATCACCCTGACCAAAGGGGAGAGCAGCAGAGAGTCTGGGGAAAGCCTCAGGTTGGTGTCAAGACCTGTTCCCGACCAGAGACCCCACAAATGTGATATATGTGAGCAAAGTTTTGAACAGAGATCATATCTCAACAACCATAAGCGTGTACACAGGTCAAAAAAAACAAATACAATTCGTGATTCTGGGGAAATCTTCAGTGCAAACTTAGTTGTTAAAGAAGATCAGAAAATTCCTACTGGGAAAAAATTGCATTATTGTAGTTACTGTGGGAAAACATTCAGGTACAGTGCCAACCTTGTCAAGCATCAGCGGCTTCACAGTGAAGAGAAGCCCTACAAATGTGATGAGTGTGGAAAAGCCTTCAGCCAGAGCTGTGAGTTCATCAATCACCGAAGGATGCACTCAGGAGAGATTCCCTACCGGTGCGATGAATGTGGGAAGACATTCAATCGGAGGCCCAACCTCATGAAGCATCAAAGGATTCACACTGGGGAGAAACCCTACAAGTGTGGTGAGTGTGGGAAACACTTCAGCGCCTACTCTTCCCTTATTTATCACCAGAGAATCCACACTGGAGAGAAACCCTATAAATGTAATGACTGCGGGAAAGCCTTCAGCGATGGCTCAATCCTCATCCGACATCGTCGGACTCACACTGGAGAGAAGCCATTTGAGTGTAAGGAATGTGGCAAAGGCTTTACACAAAGCTCTAACCTCATCCAACATCAGAGAATTCATACTGGAGAGAAACCCTATAAATGTAATGAATGTGAGAAAGCTTTCATTCAAAAAACCAAACTTGTTGAACATCAGAGAAGCCACACTGGAGAGAAGCCCTATGAATGTAATGACTGTGGAAAAGTTTTCAGCCAGAGCACACACCTCATCCAACATCAGAGAATCCACACAGGAGAGAAGCCCTACAAGTGCAGTGAGTGTGGGAAGGCCTTCCACAACAGTTCCAGACTCATTCACCACCAAAGGTCGCACCATGGAGAGAAACCTTACAAATGCAGTGATTGCAAGAAAGCCTTCAGCCAGAGTACTTACTTGATTCAGCACCGGAGGATCCACACCGGAGAGAAACCCTACAAGTGCAGTGAGTGTGGGAAGGCCTTCCGGCACAGTTCCAACATGTGTCAGCATCAGAGGATTCACCTCCGGGAGGACTTCTCCATGTAATCGGAGCAGTGTCTGAGGGCAGAGTCCAGTTGAGTACTTCCTGCATGCGCCCCCAGCACCTGACTCTGCCCTTTATTGATTATCCACACAATGTTTTCACAGGTAAAAGAGCATTTCTAATTAAAGAAACCCCTTTTCTTAAATCAAAAGCAGTGCATGTTCATTTTAGAGAAATTGAGAGAGAAAAGTAAGCAAAAAAGAAGCTCCTGTAATCTCTCCCACTTAGAAAAAATATTCATTGCTGCTGATTTAGAATGTTTTCTTTCAGACATACTGGAGAGCATTTAAAAAATACTGTAATGCTTGTCACGCTATTTTCTCAATATCAGAAAATTCACACTGAAGATAACACCACATATTGGAACATTTTTACATGTTGTAAATTTAAAAACTTACCAGCCTGGCATGGTGGCTCATGTCTGTAATCCCAGCATTTTGGGAGGCTAAGTTGGGTGGATCACTTGAGGTCAGGAGTTTGAGACCAGCCTGGTCAATATGGTGAAACCCTGCCTCTACTAAAAATACAAAAACCAGCCGGGTGTGGTGGCGGGCACCTGTAATCCTAGCTACTCAGGGGGCTAAGGTAGGAAAATTGCTTGAACCTGGGAGGGAGAGGTTGCAGTGAGTCAAGATTGTGTCACTGCACTCCAGCCTGGGTGATAGAGCGAAACACTGTCTTAAAAAATAAATAAATAAAACAATCATATCATTTATACTTGTTATGTTAATAGAGTTGAAGTTGCCTTTTTTATTGTGGTGAAACAATGTGAAATTTACAATTTTAACCATTTTTAAGTGTACAATTCAGAGGCATTAAGTACAATCATGGTGTTGTGTAACCATCACCACGATGTATTTCCAGAACTGTTTTATTATTCCGAACAGAAACTGTATCTGTGAAACAGTAACTCTATTTCCCCCTTCTCCCCGCTGCTGGTAAACGCAATTCTATTTTCTGTCTCTTTGAATTTGTCTATTTTAGGAGCATAAATATGTGTGGAATCATGTAATCTGTGTCTCTTTCTATGTCTGGCTTAGTTAATTTAGCATAATCTTTTCAAGGTTTTTCCATGTTGTATCCTGTTTCAGAACTCCATTACTTTTTTTTTATTTTTTTATTTTTATTTTTTTTCTTGAGACTGGGTCTTACTCTGTTGCCCAGGCTGGAGTGCGATGGCGTGATCTTGGTTCTGCACCTTCACCCTCCCAGGTTCAAACAATTCTTTCACCTCACCCTCCCCAGTACCTGGGACCACAGGTGCACACCACCGCACCTGGCTGATTTTTTTTTTTTTTTTTGGAGACGGAGTTTTGCTCTTGTTGCCCAGGCTGGAGTGCAGTGGCACAGTCTTGGCTCACTGCAGCCTCCACCTTCTGTATTCAAGTGATTCTCCTGCCTCAGCCTCTCGAGTAGCTGGGATTACAGATGCCCTCCACCACACCTGGCTAATTTTTATATTTTTAGTAGAGACGAGGTTTCACTATGTCGACCAGGCTGGTCTCAATCTCCTGACCTCGGGTGATTCACCCGCCTCAGCCTTCCAAAGTGCTGAGATTAACAGGTGTGAGCTACTGCGCCCCGCCTAATATTTGTATTTTTTGGCAGAGTTGAGGTGAATTCACTGTATTGCTCCGGCTGGTCTCAAACTCCTGATCTCAAGTGATCCACCCACCTTGGCTTCCCAATGTGCTGAGATTGCAGGCGTGAGCCACTGTGCCTGGCCTCCATTACTTTTTACAACCAAGTAATATTCCATTGAGTGTATGTGGTACATTTTGTTTATCCATTTATTTGTTGTTGGACATTTGGGTGTTCCTACATTTTGCCTATTGTGAGTAATGCTGATATGAACATTGGTGTAAAAATATGTTTTTTGAATCTCTACTGTGTGAGTGAGTGTGTGAGCAACATGGCTGTTTATTCACCTGGGTGGAGGTGGGCTGAGGCCGAAAAGGGGTTGATCATTTCTTCCTCGTTCCGTGATCTTAAACAGCCATTTCAGGTTTCTAATTCCAGAAGCTCCTCCACAGGTGAAGTCTGGTTCATGGGGGTTGCCATGGGAGTCGCCATGCCATCCATGGAGCGATCAGACCTCCTGCAGCGCCTTCCTGGGACAGGGGCAGCTAACTCAGAGCAGGACACTCCCTTTCTGGGACAGCACCGCTCCGCCCCTCTCCACTCCTCTCCGCACCTGCCCAGCCCCTTGGGAAGGATGCTCCTCACTTTTAAGTACATTTAGCTATATACCTAGGAGTGAAATGGCTGAATCATATGGTAATTTAGTGTTTTGGCCGGGCGTGGTAGCACTTTGGGAGGTTGAGATGGGTGAATCATTTGAGGCCAGGAGTTCGAGAACAGCCTGGCCAACGTGGTAAAATCTATCTCTACCAAAAATAGGAAAATTAGACAGGTATGGTGGTGCATGCCTGTAATCCCAGCTAATCAGGAGGCTGAGGCAGCAGAACAGCTTGAACCTGGGAGGTGGAGGTTGCAGTGAACCAAGATTGCACTGCTGCACTCCAGCCTGGGTGACAGTGACATTCCATCTCAAAAAAAAAAGAAGGCTGGGCGCAGTGGCTCACGCCTGTAATCCCAGCAGTTTGGGAGGCTGAGGCAGGTGGATCACGAGGTCAGGAGTTCAAGACCAGCCTGGCCAAGATATTGAAACCCCGTCTCTACTAAAGATACAAAAATTAGCTGGGTGCGGTGGCACGTGCCTGTAATCCCAGCTACTCAGGAGGCTGAGGCAAGAGAATTGCTTGAACCTGGGAGGTGGAGGTTGCAGTGAGCCGAGATCACACCATTGCACTCCAGCCTGGGTGACAAGAGTGAGACTCCGTCTCAAAAAATAAAAAGTATGGTAATTATTTAACTTATTGAGAAATGGTCAAACTATTTTCCACAGTGGCAGTGCTGTTTTACCTTTCCACCAGCAAAGCACAAAGGTTCCAGTTTTTCTACATCCTTGCCAATTTGTTATCTTCTGCCTTTTGGATAATAGACATATTAAAGGGTGTGAAGTATTATCTCTTTGTGGTTTGGATTCGCATCTTGCTAATGTTGAGTGTCTTTTCAGTTGCTTAACCATTTGTATATTTTCTTTGCAGAAATCTCTATTCAAATTTGCCTTTTTTTTTTTTTTTTTTTTTTTTTTGAGGGGACGGAGTTTCGCGCTTGTTACCCAGGCTGGAGTGCAATGGCGCGATCTTGGCTCACCGCAACCTCCGCCTCCTGGGTTCAGGCAATTCTCCTGCCTCAGCCTCCTGAGTAGCTGGGATTACAGGCACGCGCCACCATGCCCAGCTAATTTTTTTGTATTTTTAGTAGAGACGGGGTTTCACCATATTGACCAGGATGGTCTCGATCTCTTGACCTCGTGATCCACCCGCCTCGGCCTCCCAAAGTGCTGGGATTACAGGCGTGAGCCACCGCGCCCGGCCTCAAGTTTGCCTATTTTTGAATTTGGCTGTTTGGTTTTGTTGAGTTTTAGGGGTTCTTTATGATTTTAGATATTAATTCCTTATTAGATATAAGATTTGCAAATATTTCCTTTCATTCTGTGGGTTGCCTTTTCTCTCTCTTGATAGTTTCCTTTGGTGCACAAAAGTTTTTATTTTATTTTATTTATTTATTTATTTATTTTTTTGAGACGGAGTTTCGCTCTTGTTACCCAGGCTGGAGTGCAATGGCGCGATCTCGGCTCACCGCAACCTCCGCCTCCCGGGTTCAGGCAATTCTCCTGCCCCAGCCTCCTGAGTCGCTGGGATTACAGGCACACGCCACCATGCCCAGCTAATTTTTTGTATTTTTAGTAGAGACGGGGTTTCACCATGTTGACCAGGATGGTCTCGATCTCTTGACCTCGTGATCCACCTGCCTCGGCCTCCCACAGTGCTGGGATTACAGGCTTGAGCCACCGTGCCCAGCCAAAAGTTTTTATTTTGATAAAGTTTAATTCATTTATTTTTTTTCCTTTGTTGCTTTTGCTTTGGGTGTCATATGCAAAAAGTCATTGCCAAGTCCAAAGTCATGAAGTTTTTCCATTATATTTTCTTCAAAGAGTTTTACAGTTTTTGTTTGTTTATTTGTTTTGATTTGGTGTTTGAGATGAAGTTTCATTCTCATCACCCAGGCTGGACTGCAATGCCATTATCTCAGCTCACTGCAACCTCCACTTCTTGGGTTCTCCTGTCTCAGCCTCCCAAGTAGCTGGTATTACAGGCGCCCACCACCAGGCCAAGCTAATTTTTGTATTTTTAATAGAGATGGGGTTTCACCATTTGGTCAGGCTGGTCTCGAACTTCTGACCTCAGGTGATCCACCTGCCTCAGCCTCCGAAAGTACTGGAATTACAGGCATGAGCCTCTGCACCTGGCCGTGTTTGGTTTGGTTTTGAGGCAGTTGCCTAGGCTGGAGTGCCGTGATGCTATCTCAGCTCACTACAACCTCTGCCTCCTGGGTTCAAGTGATTCTCCTATCTCAGCCCCCCAAGTAACTGGGATTATAGGTGTGGACCACCACACCTAGCTAATTTTTGTATTTTCAGTAGAGGCAGGGTTTCGCCATGTTGGCCAGACTGGTCTCAATCTCTTGACCTCATGATCCACCCGCCTCGGCCTCCCAAAGTGCTGGGATTACAGGCGTCAGCCACCGCACCTGACCATGCCCGGTTAATTTTTGTATTTTTAGTAAAGATGGGGCTTCACCACATTGGCCAGACTGCTCTCGAACTCCTGACTTTAAGTCATCTGCCTCCCTTGGCCTCCCAAAGTGCTGAGATTACAGGTGTGAGCCACTGCACCCGGCCAACCAGCAATATATTTTTTTTCTTTTTGAGACAGGGTGTCACTCTGTCACCTCAGCTGGAGTGCAGTGGCATGATCTCGCCTCACTGCAACCTCCACCTTCCGGGCTCAAGCGATCCTCCCACCGCAGCCTCCTGAGTAGCTAGGACCACAGGTGCATGCCAACATACCTGGGTATTTTTTGCTGTTGTTGTATTTTTAGTAGGGACAGGGTTTTGTCATGTTTCCCAGGGTGGTTTTAAACTCCTGGGCTCAAGTGATCTGCCCACCTCAGCCTCCCACAGTGCTGGGATTACAGGCGTGAGCTACTGTGCCCAGCCAGTTTCTATTGAATGGACTTTCCTTTTCCAATTGAATGATGTATTAGTCAGCTTGGGCTGTTATAACAAAATACTACAGACTGGGTGGCTTGGCATAAGCAACAGAAATTTATTTCTCAGTTCTGGAGGCTAGGAAGTCTAAGGTAAGGTGCCAGCCTATTCAGTTCCCAGTGAGAGTTCTCTTCCTGGCTTGCAGATGGCCACCTTCTTGCTGTGGTGTTCTTCTTCTTCTTCTTCTTTTTTTTTTTTTTAATTTTTTTTTCTTTTTTTTTCTTGCTGTGTTCTTAATGGTAGGGAGAGACAGATCTCTGGTATCTCTTCCTCTTTTAGGGGCACCAGCCTTATTGCATTAGGGCCCCACCCTTATGGTCTCATTTAACCTATATCACCTTCTCATAGCCACTCTCCAAATATAGTCACATTGGGGGTTGGGGCTTCAACATACAAATTTTGGTGGGACACAAACGTGACAAAGGGTTTAGGCATCCTTGCTGAAAATCGATGATATACACAAGGGGTTATTTCTGGACTCTCTATTGTGTTACGTTTTATTGCCTATCATGCCGGAATCACGTGTTTTTTTTTTTTTTTGTTTTTGTTTTTGTTTTTGTTTTTTTTTAATTATAGCTTTGTATTAAGTTTTGAAGTCAGGAAGTGTGAGTTCTCCAACTTTGTTCTTTTTCAAGATTGTTTCGGCTGTTTGGGGTCACTTGCCATTCCATATGAAGTTTGGTATAGGTCTTTCTTTTTTTCTTTTTCTTTTTCTTTGAAGCAGGATCTCACTCTGTTGCCCAGGCTAGAGTGCCATGGCACAAACTCAGCTCACTGCAGCCTCGACCTCATGGGCTCAAGTGACCCACCCTTCCACCTCAGCCTCCTGAGTA